TGTCACTGAAGTGATAAAGGACATGTATGACAACTGAATGGTATCCTTTTGTTAAGTTTTTGGCCAGGGGTGGGTAGTTATTTTTAATTGATATTTGAGGTTGGGTAATCAAATTTTTGTCTTTTGTAATGGTCGGGTCAGCAAAATTTTTGACACGGAAAACATTTCTCTTCGGTGCCACCCCCCGCCATAAGTAATGACCGGTCCCTTAATGTGAATTAAATCCAAACCGTATAACGCGAAGCTTAAACTCTCTATAGTATTTATGGCGGGGGGCCGGATGGCACCGAAAAACGTTTTTGCTGATCTAACCATTAAAAAGTCAAATGTTTTTACCCAACCATCAAATAAAAATAAATACCATGTAACCCTGACAAAAACTTTACAAGTGAGTGAGTCAATCTTGGAAATGAAAATAGCGTTTGATCACCCAACCCTTGAATTGTTTTTTTTTTCATTTACCCAACCCTTTACTCACTCAAAATTTTGTTTACCCAACCCTTTTTTTCTTCTAAAGCTTCAAATCGTTCGTATTTTTTCAGGAATAATAATCTCTTTTCTTATTGATGTGAAAGATTGACAAATCGTATTGATGTGAAAGATTGACAAATGGTTGGAAAGTCTGAAGGAAGACATTTGAACTATTATTCACACGGATTATGCATGCCATGAAATTTCTGAATATGTGGGATGAAGTTAAGTTAAGGTGGTCCTCCACCCTAAAAATGTGATGTTGGCCATTTTTAGTAATTTATAAATTTTTCAGATTTTCCTTAGCCTGCAATGATGAAGAAAAACTTTTATGATGAACAAATGTTGTAATAATATTGTAATAGTATTCTAGCTGCATAGTTTTATCATTCATATTTTTTACACTACAGTGTATATATGTCCCCCAAAAAGTGCAATAGCTATGCCATTGAAATCATGCATTCGTTATGTATCAATAGTTTTGATATCTTTAAGCAGTCATAAAATTGGTTCTACTAGACAAATTTTGAAAAGCTCGTGTCAAAATTCATCACTTGAATTGATCATGATGCTATTAATAATTAGCTTTAAAAAAATCTGGAGCATTAAATAGATGTTTTGCATGCGCATTATATAGCTTTTTTGGAACACCCTGTATATTATGTTGAGTTATTCTATTTGAATTATCATCAAATTTGTGAGTGCTCGACTGAATCGTCTGATATCTCAGCCAAAAATGCGTGGTATTTGTCTCTTTTATCATAGTTAATAGAGGAGATGGTTTGGGAACTCGTTAGAATTACAATAAAATCACAATAAACCTCATTATATATGTTGTTTTATGTTGTTCAGGTTTATGCAAAAATGTGGTCTTTCATCGTCGCGTGCGTATTGTATTTTTGCTCAACCAGCCAATAGCAACGGTTTTGTCCAATTGCCCATCCATGACTTTAACAATAGGACATTTTGAACATTCCTATTGGTTGAGTTGCGAAAAACACAATACGCACCGACGCACGTGACGATGAAAGACCACATTTTTGCATAAACCTGAACTAAAACATAGATAGTGAGGTTTATTGTAATGCTAATAAGTTTCCAAACCATCTCCTCTATTAACTATGCTTTTATGTAGTCTCGTAGCTTGGCCAAGTTGTGAAAGCTCGCACTTGAAAATCTTTCACTCTCGCGCGTGGTGCTCGGGCGTGCATATACGAGTCCGCGGGCCACCAGCGAGCGTGAAAGATTTTCAAGCGCGAGCTTTCATGACTTGTGCAAGCTATGAGCCAAATCGAGACAAATTAATACCACGCATTCTTGGGCTTCCTATGATCAACCTTGCGGAAATACTAATTGTTCTTTGAGCAACTTTCTGCAAATTCAAATGTGACTTTACAGTTGAAAATTTTGACATGTATATTCTAATTTTGCCTGTCTAAGTTGGAAACATAAATGGCAGTTGAGCTGTAACATGTAGCTGTGCCTTGGAAGAATTAGATCTGCATATGAAAGTATTGAACTGCGGTTCAATGGTCATTTGAAAATGCAAACATTTGCTCAAAGACAAAGTACAATCTTTAGTTTCCGCATCACTGATGGCTGATTCACTTTCAGCCGCTTTTAAACACAAACGTACCACGAAGACACCATGGCAAATCGAATGAAAATTAATTTCCGAAGCGTATACCGGATTACGCGGAGTAACAATTTAAAATTGAGCCTTCCTAAGCCAAAAACAGATTTTTTAAAAACAAGCTTCTCCTACCGTGGGGCTGTCGCGTGGAATAGTCTACCCTATGAACTTTTACGAGTGGTAGACGAATCCCAATCTATTTCTAATTCTTTTCGTAGCTTACTTATAATAATTATTATGAAACTTTGTAATAGTTTGTAATGTAATGTCTCAGTTAAATGTTGTAATTCTTTTTTTAAAGCACACGGCCCTTTGAAAATCACGCAAGTGAAAGCTACCGTGTATAAATATTTTTAAATAATAATAATAATAATGATAAATAATAATTGACCTGTTTACACTGCTCCGGCACATACCGGATTACTTTTCATATCAACTCCAAAGCGGAGTGATTTTTGCTCCGTGTTGCGTACCGGATTACTGTGGCGTAGTGTAAACAGCAGCCGAATCCGGTTTGAAAATCGCTGCGCTCCGAAGCAATTCGATCGGCATAGTATAAACGGAACCTAAACGAGACAAATTAATATCACGCATTCTTGGGCTGCTATGATCAACCTTGCGGAAACCAATTGTTCTTTAAGCAACTGTCTGCAAATTCAAATGTGACTTTACAGTTGGATATTTTGACATGTACATTCTGATTTTTCCTGTCTCAGTTGGAAACAAATGGCAGTTGAATTATAAGATGTAGCTGAGCCTATTAGAATATTAGAATATGATATCGGAAAGTTGATTAATTGAACTGTTCAATGATCGTTTGAAAATGCAAAAATTTGCTCAAAGACAAAGAACAATATTCAGTTTTCGCACGGTTGATTCGCTTTTAACCACTTTCAAAGAGAATGCGTACCATGAAGACACTGAAGCAAATCGAATGAAAATTAATTCCCAACCCGAGGTCTTAATTCAGCAGTCAAGGCAAATGGATAACAAGTCGTCATGCAGACTCAAAGCCAAAGGAATATCGACGGTTTGCGGCGGCCTGTTGCTTCATATCTCGATGGGTGCCCTTTTCTTCACGTTTGGTAAGTTATTAGATGAATTAATATAAACAGCTGCTATCTATTAATATACCTTTGTCATACCAAAATGTTGGTGTTTACGCCACAAGCAGGAGTTAGATACCGAAAACAGAGGATCTTAAGCACTTTCCAGATATAAACGCGAGTAGCCGTAAACCCGAGGGATTTATCTGGCTAAGAGTCGACGTTTGAGATATCTAACTGTACTTACTTCTTGTTGAATATAGTAGAATAAAAATAATACTGAATGCTAGGAAAATGAAAAATAATGCATGATTTAATTCTCTTGTCATGTGGGTTTGAATTGTCTTGTTAGGTTGAATTTATATATATATATATATATATATATATATATATATATATATATATATATATATATATATATATATATATATATATATAGTTTTTCGTTTTACCTCACAAAACCACAACAGTCTGTTTCATCCGATATAGGAAACAGTCTGTTGTGGTTTTATATATATATATATGCCTCACAAAACCACAACAGTCTGTTTCATCCGATATAGGAAACAGTCTGTTGTGGTTTTTTGAGGTAAAACGAAAAACTATATTACGCTCTATCTATATGCATGGTATTGAGCACTGTTTGTGTTTCGTAAATATATATATATATATATATATATATATATATATATATATATATATATATATATATATATATATATATATATATATATATATATATATATATATATATTAATACTAGTTACTTTCATCCTGCTCATCAGCACTACACTGCATGATGAGGCCCAAAAGGCCGAAACGGTACCGTCTGTGCTTAGTTCTTAATCCCGCGGCGCACACTAGAGCTTTCTGCTTAAGCTACGTTTACACACAACGATTAATCGGGCCGATTTCAGGTTTTGCCGAATATTAACGACGAATGTTGTGAGTTGACGATGTCGTAAGATAAATTTGCGTGGGTACCTCACCACCTCGGATCCCCCATCAATTGGACAATAGCTAATTGTTCCATGGGAAACCGCTCACCAATGAGTGAGAAACTCAATAAATATACAGATAAACAATAAGTCAAAGTGCACGGGGTCATGTAAACAGCGCCAGGATCAACCGAGGATGTCAAGGATGAGAGTGCATGGGAGTTGGCACGAGAACTTGACTAGCTGTTCTTCATGCTTTCCCAACAGGCAACATATTATCATGTATTCTATTCGTCGTCGAAATATAATTCGCTTCATTTCTTTTGAATTGTGAGCATCCGAATAAATCAGTTCTACCTGACTGCTCACAATTCAAAAGAAATTTACGGCGAAAACTTTCGACAGCGAAATCATTTTTGCAAGTGGAAATCTAACTTAATGCTCAAACAATGAATTCCAGATGAGTTCAAAGAGAGCATGTATGACGGCAACACGACGACGACGGCCAAAACAAATTCCTTCAAATAAATGATAGTAAAGAAAACTTGTCGTATATTATAATTCGTATATGAATTTAATACAGTATAAGAAGTTGAAAACATTGGCTTTATGTTTTATGTTCTACTGAACCGAATTTTAAGTTGCACTTGTTACGGCTTGAAATGCAGGCGTTGTATAAAAGACGTGAAAATCTGTAGTCGTGTTAACACTACAAGCCTTGGCCTGGCCTTGGCCTATACATTTTGACAGTGTAAACAGACTTTGGCCTTGCCTTGGCCTGACCTAGGCCAGGAAATCTGGGCTCACTACAACCGGTGGCCTAGCTAGGCCTGGCCTATAGGCCTAAGCTTGTGGAAATGTAACTCACTTTCAGGGCCCTGGCCTGGACCTTATTTTCACGGTAACGTGTGTCAACAGTGAGAGATTAGCGGACAACCAGCGGACAACGTCACAACACATAAAAATTCAGAAAATTAATAACAAAATTCTAGGCCAAAGTGAGCCAGTCTCAAAAAAATAGTGTAATGGTGTAAAGGCTAGGCCAAGGCTTGTAGTGTAAAAACGACTTGTGATTTGCCGTTGTGGAAATTCTCACAAAATGTCTTTTAAACGGGGGGGGGGGGGTTCAATGCCGTCAAAACATTACACAAATCAAAACAATCGTACATTTACTCACCCTTGGCCAAACATTCTGTTATTTTAATTCGAGAAAAAACGTGAATACCTTCTACTTCGCCTATCGGTATTCGCCCCAAATCAATCTGAGTAAAACATTCCTTGTATTCAAGCGCTTTCATGTAGAAAGTTTCGTTTGAATACGGCTACACACGCAAATTAAAAATCTCACATCTGGTAGCAAGTTTGTCAACAAGCCGTCAACAAGTTGTCTTCGCACTGCTTGTCACAAATTGTCAACACGTTTGGAACAAGCTGTTAACAAGTTGTAACAACCTTGTTGTTATTATCAGGCTTGTTACAAGGTTGTTCCAACAAGTCCGATACAGTCATGATATAACAATATTGTTACAACCTTGTGTCGTCAACCTTGTAATATTCTTGTTATATCATGACTGTATCAGACTTGTTAGAACAACCTTGTGACAAGTCTGATAATCCTAACGTATTTTGTCTAAATTTGTAATTGTTTTATATCTTTAATTACTTTTTAACCTGAAGATGGAGTTATACTCCGAAACGTAGTTATTAAAATAATCTTTTTGTACTAAGCCTATATGATCTAATTATTCAAACACAGAATTACTAAAATGCGGCTTAGAGAAAGTTCCGTCATACAAGATTTGAAGAAACTTGTGGGTTGTAACAACTTGTGCGTTTTTGCGTGTGTGCACTGCAGCTAAAAACGCACCAGTTGTTACATATCTGGAAACAAGTTGTTACAAATCTGTTCACAAGCCGTCAACAAATTGTGTTCGCACTGTTTGTTCCCAGTTGCTGTAACAAGTTTGGAACAAGTTATGAACAACTTGTAACAAGCTTGATAGCATTATCAGATTTGTTGGAAGGTCGTTCTAACAAGTGCGATACAGTCATGACATAACAAGAATGTTACGAGGTTGACGACACAAGGTTGTAACAATATTGTATATCATGACCGTATTGGACTTGTTGGAACAATCTTGCCATGTCTGATATAATATCAACAAGGTTGTTACAAGTTGTTAACAGTTTGTTCCAAACTTGTATACTTGTTGATAACTTGGGACCAAGCAGTGTGAACAAAACTTGCTAGCGGCTTGTTGGTACACTTGCTACAAGATGCGAGATTTTTGCGTATGTTTGCAGATTTGTATATAACAACTCGTTAGCAGACCTGTAACAACTTGTGCGTTTTTGCGCCTGTAAAGAGAAGCAATAGCCGAAACGCACTCTCCAGGAAGTACTTTGACTTGTACTTGCAATTGCGAGTGAAATAACTTTAAGAACAGCTACAGAGCAATTTTTGATAGAAAATTTGTGACTCAATGAGATCAATTTTGGGCTATGATAAGTCAGTCCTATGCCTTTTTCTCGGCAAAATGTACTATACAGTGCACCACCTCGTTAATAGGGACCTCAAGCATGGACGACGGCAACGCGACGACGACAGCCAAAACAAATTTCTTGGCAAATAAATTATTGCTAAGAAGAGTTGTTGTGTATTATCCACTGCATGTATATATGAATTAAAAGATTAAAAGAATGAAAAGATTAAAACAAAGGCTTTATAGTTAAAAACGCTTCTGCTGAGCAAATTTGTAATTTCACTTGTCGCGTCTTGATATGTTTGCGTTGCACAACGAGACGTGAAATCTCTGTTTTACCGTTGTAAAAAGCACTAATACAACGTTTCTAACTCCCGTAGGGCTTTTTGTTATTCATTTCTTTTGTACGAGATCAGGAATATCATTGTGCGAATAGCCGTCGTCGTCGAGTTGCCGCCCTGTTTGCTTAAGGTTCCTAATACGACCACACCGATAATACGACCACTTTTCATTTCCCCGAACAACACCTAAGTATTTTTCTCATCCGAAGACCCCCTTAATACGACCACCTCGCTAATACGACCAACGACCACCTTTTGATGTCCCCAGTTCTTTAATTAATACGACCACTCAATATACCAAACAATACCCCGTTGGCTGGTTATGACAAGCGCAATTTAATATATCATAGTCAAACAATTGAACAGTAAATTTAATTACATGCGGCTAAAAGTGTAAGCTTGACAATGCGGTGTAAACTTGACAAAGCGTTTTTCAAAGATATCAAAGAAGATTTACGGGATAGATGTTAAGAAACATCTGTGCCGTAATTTGATCCAACTCCCGTTAATACGACCACCTCATTAATACGACCAAAATATAATGGCCGAACGGTGGTCGTATTAACGGGGTTTCACTGTAGTTCTAAAGAGGGCAGCCATCGCATAGATGAACAATCTTCTCTGGGATTTCCCTTCAATTTCACAGTGGGACTGGGATTTAATCCAAAAGAAGGGCTTCGAAATGGGATTTAGACAATCTCGTTCCCCGAGCCTGCGATCCTCGGGAAGGAACGTGAGGCTCTGGGATAATCCGTTGCCGGAAGCCATGAGGAATCCTGGCTAAGACCGAACTGCGCATTCGATATCAACGGCCAATCAGATTCCTCCCTGAAACGGATTATCCTCACGTTCCTTTCCGAGGAGCCTCACGTTCCTTCCCGAGGATCGCAGACTCGGTGAACGAGATTGGGATTTAGAGAAAAGAAAGGCTTGGAAATGGAATCCAGACTCCAGCCCGCCCGCCATCTTAGCTCTCAATTTTGGGCCGCAATTTTTGATCGTGGATGCATTGCTTGTGTTTGATAATGGATGACTTGCGCTTTAGATTATATAGATATATTTTCCGTATTTTACAACATTTTGCAATCAAACTTTGTAATATTACTAATTCCAAGACGCTCTTTCTAGCTGTGCTGATAGATTTCGTTGTTCTTACATAGATTAAAATTTAGTCTAAAGCGCAAGTCGTCAATTCTATGTCACTCTTTTCAGGCAACGTTAGTCCATACTTCACGTCATATTTACGCTATCGTACATCCGAAACAACATTGCAGCATTCTGACAGTATGTGGGTCATAAGTTGCCATGAAATTGCCGTTCATCTCACCCTCGTGTGCAGCGGAGTGATTGAATTAAAACTGGGGGCTAGAATGACTAGTCTACTTGGTGGACTGGTGAACAGGTATGCTTTCTGATCACTGACCTAACTCGCACACGTAAACTATAGATAACTCGCACACGCAAAAAATCTCACAGCTTGGCCACAAGATGTGTTCGCAACAAGCTTGTAACATGCTTGTCAACAAGTTGTGACAATGTTGTTATTTTATTAAGTTGCTACAAGTTTGTCACTCGCAACTTGTTGAAAAATTGTTCAATTCAGAACGATAACAAGTTGTTGGAACAACTTGCAACAAGCCTGTCGAGCTCAAAAACCTGGTAACAAGTTGTGAACAAGTCGTTGATAACCTGCCAACAAGCTGGGAACAAACAGTGCAAACACATGCTAATGACAAGTTGGTGGAACAGCATTGTTACAAGTCTGCTGCTGGTTTATTACAATTTGTGCGTTTTTACGTGTGTAGTTTACAGAAGCATCAAGCATAGAATAGAACAAATTAGGTAGCTAAGCTTTAGACTATTATCTACATGAGTGAATAATCCTATCTAACCCTTTGTTCTATTCTATAATATATAATTCTGTAAACTAGAACAATCGAAACAACAAGGACAACTAAAAAATAACCCCAAAAATAGTGGTCGCTCTGACTGTAGTTTCTATTCTGTTTATTTAGTTTGGGTCTGCTATTGACATACTTCACAGTGCAACATTCCCTAGTGGCAGTTTCTCTTACTTATGGCATAATGTTTGGTGCAGGGGCTGGTATTGCATATTCAGCTTCCGTTCGTCAAGCAATGGAGGCAAGAACTACAAAAATTACACTATTTTGTCGTCCTCTTCGTTGTTGTTGTTGTTGTTGTTGTTGTTGTTGTTGTTGTTGTTGTTGTTGTTGTTGCTGTTGCTGTTGCTGTTGCTGTTGCTGTTGCTGTTGCTGTTGCTGTTACTGCGATTCTGCTGTTGCTGTTTTGCTCTGTATGTCGCTGTCTGTGTTTGTGTTTGTTGTTGTCGTCGTTGCGCTGCTGTTGTCGTTGTTGTTGTTCTGTTACTGCATGCTGCTGTTGCTGTTTTGCTCTGTATGTCGCTGTCTGTGTTTGTGTTTGTTGTTGTCGTCGTTGCGCTGCTGTTGTCGTTGTTGTTGTTGTTGTTGTTTTTGTTGTTGTTTTTATTGTCGTCGTCGTGGTTGTTGCTTTTGTCGTTGTTGTTGCTTGCAAGTATTGTTGTTTGTCTGTGCTGTTTTAAGTGTTGTTGTTTGTTTCTTGTTTTTCACCTTAACTGCAAATTGCTCTTCCTTTCCAACTGGTGAATTGAGTTTAGAAATTGAAATCTCAACTATATTATATTATTCAGTGGTACCCAGAGAACACTGCTTTTGTTTGTGGACTTGTCGTCGCTGGTATTGGTGTATCAGCGATAACATTCAATGAAATAGAGATTATGTACACAAATCCCAACAATCTGGGACCCAATGTTACTGCAGGCCCGAATAATGACAAGTAAGATAGATACTGACTTTTTGTATAACTATTAAACAATAACGAAACTAATTTTATTTTGGGCCGTTGGCTAGTTATTGCGAGTCTGGGCGATTTTATGCGATTTAAGATAACTTCAGTGAATTTTTTAGGCGACTTAAGGCGAGTGAATATCCCAGAGTTGGTCTTTGGCTTGACATCTGGCCATATCTTTTCTGAACTGTTCTCCCAAGGATTCCAGTATAAGGAACCGATCTCTTGCCGATTGAGTGTTACTGCATTAGGAAACCGATGTGTCGTAAAAATAGGAGTCACGATCTTTAATTTTTCAACGGCCAATTTATATAATAGTTTATAATAATACTTGTAAACCACATATAAATCATGAGTATTCTCTAGTTATAATCACTCCGCGTATTTTCAGTTCTAAAATGTCGTATTTCGGCTGATGAGAAAGATCGTGACTCAATCTTTACGACCGTTACGACCATATGGAAATCAGGCTCGGTAATATAGACAAACAGCAAAGGTTTTCTCATATGCAAATGAAGCGAAAGTTTAAATTAGACAACACCGTCGCATAAAGGTAAAGTGGACAAGCGTTTCAGCCACAAGTCAATTGCCTGATTGGAAAGAGAAGCCAAAGATGGCGGATTTTAGATATTTGCTTCATCCCTTTCGCAGTTTATTGTAATGGTTAATTTCGTACGAACTTCAAATGTCCTTGAAAGTCCTTGAATTTATAAAGCGTGCTTTAGTATTCTGATGTTTTCTGAAACTTCACATGTATGATTTAAAAAGTGGACACTTTGTTGAATTGACTTTGTTCAAGCTTTCGACTGTCAGTCTACAGTCTTCAGCGGATAATCTACCCGATGTAGACTGACAGTCGAAAGCTTGTAAAAAATAAATGTTATAACCAGAGAACGTCTATAGTTTTCAATATGAATAATCCTTTAGCTTGTTTCGCATCAAACATATTTAAATATTACAAAGCTGTTTAATTGAAATTCATTAAACAGTTCATTGGACAGTTAATGTCACTTTTTTACTGCGGATTCTATCACTCTCTTTTCAGCTCTTTACTCATTGAATTTTCTCATACATGGTCTTGAAAGTCCTTGCAAAATGCAAAGTCCTAGAATTTCACTCTTCCTCTTTTTTTAATATCGATTTTCACGTGCATGTATTTAACTAAGAAATAATCATACTCCAGTAAATTTCAATCTCAAATCACGACTAGTTGAATTTATGTTGTCTAGATACTTTGGTCAAGACGAGATATTAGACCGAGTGCCTAGTTTGTTTATCGTTGTTGGTGTTGTATGCGCTGTGATGACTGTCATTGGAGTATTACTGTTGTTTGACCCACCGAAACAAGACCATGTGAGTTACCGCATAATCATAGAGAATAATACTTTTGAGCCGAAAGTAGTGCATTTTTCCATGCGCGTATAATAACTAAACTGATACTGATCAAAATTTGCTAATTTCACAGGGCTATATTTTTCGTATTTTACAACATTTCGCAACCAAACTTTGCAATTTTACTAATTTAAGCATGTTCTTTTAAACCGGCTGTAATGATAGATTTCGTCGTCCTTGTCCGGATCACAATTTAGTCTGTAGCTGCATGGAATCATCCATCGCAATACTATGAATTCAATGATGTTGTTACAAAAGCATGAATTAAGATTTCACAATGTTGGTGCGAAAACTAGAAACTCTTCTAAAATGTCACCAACACCACAGTAGATTTGTCGTGGTCACATGCACCAATATAACCGCAACTGGCTTCATTTACGCAACTGGCTTCATTTGGCAAATAAGAGTCGAAATGTTCAAAACTTATTAATCTATATTTTAAAGACGATGGGAGAAAAGACATTTTTTCAACAATTAACAAATACAGATGACGAAATAGAAGATGCTTTGCTACCTAAAGATAGGTAGGAAATATATTACATGGTTGTACTATAAAATAGATGGTTGTTTGGTACCAGTTTATTCAATAACATCATTAATAATTCATATAAGCTTATTGGCAAATCATGTCAACCATAATATGTCACGTGCAGTGGCTTTAAACCTGATAAAACACTCTTTTTGGAATACAAATAAATATAAAGAATACTAATAAGGCAGTATCTATTGTATAGTTGTGTCCTCATTAGTATTCTTTATATAAAGAATACCGCTAATAAGACAGTTTATCTATTGAATTTGTAGTCGTGTTTGAAGCCGTTTAATAAACTCACAGGACGTGTTTTATTAGGTCTAAAGCCATGCACTCGCGCCGCTCGTGGCTTTAAACCTAATAAAACACTCCTGCTCGTTTATTAAACAGTACATAATACGGTATATGTATTAAATTAACATGTTAACAAATTAACATATAAACTCAGACCGTACACAAATTAACATAAACTCAGAAAAAAATAACACAATGCACATATATGACTTCTGTTCAGTTTCCAGACTATCATATCTTCATAGACTAAATTTGTAGCTAATGTTAATTGTTTCTTCCGACTTTGAAACAGCTGACAGTATTCATCTTCGTTTGCATTCCAGAGCGGAACTTCACGACGATGTTCATCCATTGGAAATGATAAAGACAAAAAATTTTTGGCTTTTATGGTTTATTGCACTTGTCAACGGTGAAGTTATAATGTTTCTCCAATCATTATACAAGGTAATATATTTAAGAAATAGAAAACGAGTATATATATATATATATATATATATATATATATATATATATATATATATATATATATATATATATATATATATATATATATATATATATATAATTATTTATATATATATAATTATTTATATATATATAATTATATACCACTGATTTGTATTGAGTGTTGAAAAGTTATGAGGGGAGCACACAAATAAATATCTATCTGTCCATTATACCTGTAGGCATACGGAGAGACGTTCATACCGGACGACCGATTCTTGGCTTTAGTTGGTTCAATCAGCATGGTATTCGCTAGTGTGGGGCGAATATTGTGGGGAATTATTGCAGATAGGCTTCCTATAAGGGTAAGAGCAGCACAAATTTAGGGGTGGACCATTAGCTATCATAAGATGGGGGAGGGTGGATTTTCCTTGCAAGAATATTTTTTAAAGATGGGGTCAAGTCTGTTCTGCGCATGTGCTACACGAGGACCTTCGGGTGTATACAATACCCATTAAATTTAGCCTTGTTTCGACATCTTCTAAATTAAAACTCTAATTTATATTCATTTAAAAGCACAGCAAACCAGAACAATGTGATATGTTAACTACGTACTTCATATTGTGTGAATATAGTGCGCTCAAACTGTAAACAAACCCCTCATCCTCTGGACGGACTTGACCATTAAGTTAACACGGATTTTTAAGTCCGGAGCTATCTTAAAATTCGAAATAGTAGGAATTATTGGACATTTCCGTCGCAATCCGATTCAGTTCCGATGTGTAAAGTTACGCAGTTGTATTTTTATACATATTTTTAGCCTCCGCTCCGAAAGTTCTCATACCTTCCTCGCCTTCCCATTAAAAACAAATTGGTTAGCAGAAAAACGAGACCAAAAACCTTCAATAAAACGCTCAAAAATCAGATTACAATATTTACTCGCCCCAAGTCTCTTTTCTTTCAACCGCGCGAATTTTAGCGCATGCACAGACAAAATCCCCACCTGTTATTTACACAGATCTGGCTGAATTTGACCAACGTGTAGTTTGTTTATGTCTCCTTCTGTAGGACTAGCCAAGAAATATACGTGGAAATGTAGTTAGCTAGTGCTTTTGGCCACTTACAGTATCTCTAGTATTTAACTGAAAGGCATATATTATAATTACATTTCAGACAACACTAGTATTACAACATGTAATAATAACAGCTTTGTTACTGACCTTCACACTGTCAGAAAAGGCGGGAAAATGGATGTTTCTTACTTGGTTGGCTGGAATGATGAGCACTTTGTCAGGGACGACCGCAAATCTCTTATCTGCGACCGCTATCATATTTCGTATGAAGTACTTTGCTACGAATTATGGTTTAGTGTGCAGCTCAATGGTATGTTGAAAGTTCGATCGGGTCGATCATTATGGCGAAATCCGGCATACTTTACAGCCACGGTATGCAGTGGTGTCAAGTAACGAAGTAAAGACAGTAAATGTACTTCGTTACTGTACTTGAGTACTATTTTTGAGAAGTGAGCATGTAACAAAGTAAACTTTTTCTGGAGTACTTTTACTTGGAACGAAGTCGTTTTAAGAAGTAACGTTTTACTTCGTTATTTTCATTTTGTGGCGAAGTATTTCGTTACTTTCTAACTTTTGTTTAATTTTACGTGATTTATTTCTGGTTTATTTTAATTTCGGGAAAGGTAATAGGACCTCTACATGCGTCTGGGATCTCTCGTTTGTGACTTACTTATAAGAATTATTTATTTAATGGATTTCTTATATCTTCAACGGGGTCTGGAAAGTAGACCATGCCGTGAAATATTGTATATTCGGTGCACGCGCATATAATGCGTGACAGCGTGTGTTGTTTTGTGTCTTTTGTATGTCAATCCATTGGAGGAGTTCCCCTCCCCCTCTACACGCTACAGGCAATAGTACTTTTACTTTTACTTTGTACTTCAAGTGTTTTTTAAGGATACTTTGTACTTTTTACTTAAGTACGTTTTGCCTCCAGTACTTTTCACTCTTACTCAAGTCGTTTTATTGTTAATTACTTCTACTTTTACTCGAGTACAAATTCAAAGTAATTTACGCACCACTGACGGTATGTGGCTTTAAAGTACACCTGTTTTTGGCATACCTTATGGTATGTGGTTATAGAGTACGCCTGTGTTCGGCATAAACCTTATAACCCCGGTTTGTGGCTATAAGGTATACTAGATTTCGGCATACCTTAGCAACTTTGTCGGCGGTTTTAATTTGTGTTTCTGACGGATGCGAATGAGTGAACTCGCACACAGAACTATAGAGTCGCTTTTCAGAAGTAAACAATTGTAAGTCTTTTGCATGTCATTCAGTAGTAGTAGTAGTAGTAGTAGTAGTAGTAGTAGTAGTAGTAGAACTTTATTTATCCACGCTGACCCCGTCAACCGTAGCTGATTTCCACGGGGGGCGTGTGCCAGAAAATTATTTTACATGCAGAATATGATAAGGATAAGCTAAGCTATTACAGTAATATATAAATTTAAAAGATATAACAAATGTTTTGAGCTATTTACTGGTAAGTTATATTTACAAAGGTTACCAAGCACTAATGTGAGCAGCGATTTTATTTCGAAAGGAAGAAAGTGACTTGCTTTCCCTAATTTCTTTTGGTATAGAATTCCAAATGTTTGCTCCGTCGTACATAAAACTATTTTTCATGCTATTTGTACGTGGTTTTGGTAAATAAAGACCACTTGAGACATCCCGAAGGTGGTAATTAGTTTTCTCACTCTTAAACGAAAATAGATTTGTGAGTGATTTTGGGCCCATTTTGTTTAATAACTTATACATCATTCTTGCTTTAGTTTTCTTCCTTTCAGTTTGGAGTGGCTCCCAGCCCAAAGTACGTAACGCAATCGTATAATCTACGTCATTGCTTATATTCAGAATAATTCTTGCCGCTCTATTTTGCAGTTTTTGCAGTCGTTTTGATTGAGTTTCGCCAAATACATCCCATACTTCACAGCAGTATGGCATTCATTCGAGCAGCAGCATTCATTCGATCACATTGGCCAGGAAGAGAAAAATCGTTGACAGAATTGCCAGTGCCAGGCTTTACAACCACGGTTTGTGGCTATAAATTAGTACGCCTGTTTTCGGCATTCGGATTTGTACGAATCTTAAACTGCACTTTGAAGGGTGAAAGGGGGGGGAGGGGAGGGGACAGCCGTTTCACTTTTCAAGTTAACATAGGAATATAGTCCCCTCCTCCTCGGAGGACCTGTCATTATGATTGACCAATTATTTCTCGAATTTCATTTCAGATACCCGGTGGAATTATCGGCCCGATTTTATCTCAAAATGTCAGCGATTATATTGGTTGGTCCGGGATTTTCTCTTTAGTAGCGGGCTTTTCCTTTTCTGGTAAGTAGCAGCGTCATTATAATTTTCCTCGGCCAAAATTGTGAATTAAATTCAAACCTATAATAGTTTTGTTTGTGGAAACACCAGGTAAATTTATTACTGCAAAGCTTTCGATCCATAAGCCCGGATCTTCATCAGTAAATATCAGCACTAGTGATGAAGAGATGAAGATCCGGGCTTGCGGATCGAAAGCTTTGCAGTAATAGATTTACGTGGTGTTCCCACAAACAAAACTATTATATGTTTTATCGCCATGCAAACGTACAAAGAACTTAAATTCAAACCTGTATCACAGCGTTAGTGACCGGTTATGAAATAATATTTCCGTATTGGAAAAATGTCAATCATGGCAAAAATTCTGTCAACACTTACTAGGTGTAAAGGGGCTGTAAACTAAAGTGTCACCAGTCACATGTTGGCGTCTTTGTCTCCCCCGCATCCTTCATCGACAATGAGGTGATCATGAATAATTGTTCTGGCACTATATACTATAACAAAATAACAACAAAAAAAATTGCCAAAGTTTTAAAACAACGGGATATAAGGAATAAAATATTCACACTAAGCGACACATTATATTAACTCTATAATATTAGTAAGTTTTCCTAGTGACGTGGTTTGCCGATAAAGTAAAAGCCTTGCACGACTTGTTGTTATTTTGATAATCAAAGAGAAATGCCCCGAATAATCGTAGGTTAATTTACCAAACTTTTACCAAACTCTCCTTAGTTGCTGACTATTATGCTTCTACAGATTATGCTACGAAAATGCTAAAATTGTGCCCTAAAAATGCTCAAAAGTTGCTCGAAAATTGAATAAGTTGCTCAAAAGTTGCTCGAAAATTGAAAAAGTTGCTCAAAAGTTGCTCGAAAATTGAAAAACAGTTGCTCCTAAAATGTCAAAAGTTTCTCGTAAACCAGTGGGTGCAAAGCAAGATATGACCGTATATTAAACACTGTAGATAAATAACATACTGCAGCTATGAACAATCTCTAGACTCTATTTCTCAAGTATATGTATTTATAATAGTGTATTACTATTAGGCACATGAACTTTCATGATACTTTCAAACAGCACCATTGTTGGGTTTGATAAACAGTCATAAACCGAGCTTGTAATCTGGTCTGAGCTGCCAGCAATTAGCAAATTAATGTAACCTAACCTGCAGTTATGGGAGTTGTTATGGATGTTTGCAAATATGTCCAGCTGCTGACTGCCATAGGATCTCCCAAACTGTAGAAGTAATGGTAAGCTAAAAAGTTTGTCAAATGGCCAAGAATAGGGAAATATTTTCGAGCCTTGTCGTGCTATTCTTTCATAATTATGACAAAGAAAAAGAGCTTGAAGAGAATATGGATCAAGGGATTCAAGGCTATCAAGCATTTCATTATCTTTCTATAAATAAAATTAGCAACATGGTCTATATTGCCAGAAATTTCCAAAAATTATGCATTTCCTGGAGGAAGTTGCTTGAAGTTGCTGATATCATAAAAAGCTGCTCCAAATGCAAAAAGTTGCCAAAAAGTTGCCAAAAAGTTGCCGAGCATAATCTCTAGAAGCCTACTGACTATGAACGTTAATTGTTGCGGAACACTCCGCCTTCGATCAAGAGACTACAAATGCAGCCAACAGGACGCGAGATTTGAGATTTACAAACACAGAAAAATTTGAGCAAAGAAATTTAGCGCGCGTTTTTAACCAAGAAAAAAGGAAAAAGCCCTCGGTTAGTGTTTTAACCATGCAGCCTATGGCCCCGTTTACACCATACCGGATTGCATCGGAGCGGAGCAATTTTCATACCGAGGGCCTTTTTCTTGCGTGAAAAATGACATTAAGATTGCATTTTTTCTTTGAAAACTTGAATCTATTCCATTTCATTTCCCGGACTAAAATATCATATATCCGGAAATTTTTTTGGTATATCCGGAAAATTTTTTTCATATTTACGAAAAAATGTGGTATATCCTAATATCCGGAAAATTTTTTTGGTATATCCGGAAAATTTTTTTGATATCACACCCCCCGCCCCCCCCGGTGGCCAACATTTCCGGGAAAAAAATTTTAGATGCCTTTTTTATACGAAAAGTGCCCCTCAAAGCCTGCCCCCCTCCAACTTTTAGAAGCTTGCTACGCCCCTGAGTAAGATGTTTTTGTTTTTCAACAAGTAATACTTTTCTAAAAATACGGATCTAAATTACAAATTTTTCAGTTTCCAGCCACTTTAAGACAACAATACGTTGCTAGTTTCCTTTGTGTTTTGCTCGTAAATTATTAATTAGTTTGAGATTGAAGAATAATTCCTGTTTTAGTCAGTGCACGGTTTCCACACTTGCAGCGTCTCGGCGGGAAATGTTGCAAAATGTTGAGCTCTATAGTTTCAAATCTTTTGTATTTTTCCAGGAATAATATTCTCTTTTCTTATTGATGTAAAAGATTGACAATTGGTGGGAAAGTCTGAAGCAAGACGATTTAAAGTTTGAACTATTATTGATTCACACAGAATATATGCATGCCATGAAATGAAATTTCTGAATATGTGGGATGAAGTTAAGTTGGTCCTCCATCCTAAAAATGGGATGTTGGCCATTTTTAGTAATTTATAAAATTTCAGATTTTCTTTAGCCTGTAATGATGAAGAAGAACTTTTTATATGATGACAAATGCTGTAACAGTATTGTAATAATATTCTAGCTGCACGGTTTTATCATTCATATTTTTATACTATATATGTCCCCGAAAAAATGCAGTAGCTATGCCGTTATGTTCAGTATAAATAGTCTTTAAACAGCCATAAAATTGGTTCTACTACTGTACGTACTAGACCAATTTTTAAAATCTCGTGTCAAAATTCATCACTTAAATTGAATTTTCGATGCGGCAGGTACAAAACGCAGGTTGCAGGTTGCAGGTTGCAGGTTGGAATTTTGCAGGTTGGGGATTTTGCAGGTTGGAATTTTGCAGGTTGGGGATTTTGCAGGTTGGAATTTTGCAGGTTGCCAGGAACTTTGCAGGTTGATAATGCAAACTTAAAATTACTCCACTTTTTCAGTATTCTAGTATAATTTAGTTGTGCATTTATTGCAGTCTGACTCCTTGTCAGCGCCTCTGCTCTAAGGCTAGTGGCCATCACCCCCGTGAAAACATTCAAAATGGCCAGTATTGGCTTGGACCTACAGGGAGACGAATATTTTGATTGTTGCGAGGTGGCTACATGACGTGACGGCGTTTATACTAGAATGTTGTCAAAAGTTAACTAACTCTCGAGTAATGTTACGGTAATTGGGGGCTTGAGTGGACCTCTCATAAGTGGGTGCAAAGGAGAGACACCTCATTCAGGCATTTTCTGAACTGCCACCACGTCATGTAGGCTCCTCTTAACAATCGAAACATTCGTCCCCCTGGAGGTCCAAGCTGATCTGGTCATTTTGAATGTTTTCACAAGGGTGATGGGCACTGATAGCGACTCCTTAGAGCAAAGGCTAGGAACATATGGCAGCAGGATAGGCTGATATCAAAAGCCCCGACAAGGAGTCAAACAATAAGTACACAATTAAATTATACTAGAATACTTTATAGTGGTGTAATTTTAAGTTTGCATCATCAACTTGCAAAATTCCTGGCAACCTGCAAAATTCCAACCTGCAAAATCCCTAACCTGCAAAATTCCAACCTGCAAAATTCCCAACCTGCAAAATTCCAACCTGCAACCTGCAACCTGCGTTTTGTACCTGCCGATTTTCGATGCTATTAATAATAATTAGCTGTAAAAAATCTGGAGCATAGAATTTTTTTGCATTATATGGCATTTTCGGGATACTATGTATTTTTGAATTGTTCTATTTGAATTACCGTCGGATAAGAAACTAGCAAATTAGCTAGATAGCTAATTTAAACCTTCAAGTAAACAATATTTTTATTTACACCTGTTCATCGTTGGACGCACCAGACGGTTATGTCATTTACACAAAGTAACACGAAGTATCAAACCAACTAAACAATACCCGCATTCAAACCACTACGGGCTCGCATAATAAAAACTAACAAGTAACAATAATGACTTGTCATGTAAAGCAGTAACCATTCATCGCTGAACATTTTACAAAAATCTCTAAAAAAAACGATGAAAAACTCACGCAAACTAACTGGGATTAATTCTAGTTATACTTTAATTCTAACCGAAGACGATTAGCCTAAGATCTGTGGCGAAAAATGAGCCAAACGCCACAAGATTATACTAAGAAGACCGTGGTCAGCATTGATGTCAAAGGTTTAAAAAAAAACAAATTCTCTTCGGATATCAATCAGGTTTATTGGTCAAAAAGACAGCGAAAGATATGGGTTGCCTCGTTGTTTCTTGGTTCTGTTATGCTGTATGTTACTCGGGTCGCAGGGCCGGTTACCATTGTTGCGATGGGGCAAGATTTAGGTTGGGATAAAACGGTTGCCGTGAGTATTGAATTATGAATGTTTGTGTTTTTTAATATAATTATGTTTCATCGCTTGTATATTTTGATCACGTACAAAGTACTAAAGTACTATGTGCAAAAATAAGCAAATATTAAGTTAATGTCTTTGTGTGTGTTTTGTAAATGCATGAACAAAGATAGTGATGAAATTGTATAATGTTGAAAGATATATTTGCACCAGAATTATATAGTATCACAGAGCCTATTTTGTAATAGTTTTACTTTTGCGTGGGAGATATTTCGCTGATGGCTAATGGGCTTGGCAGCTGCTTGAAAATAAAGCCAAAACACTTGAACAAAATATATGGGGGTTTTATGTGCCGAAGTTACTACATGACCGGCAGCTGGCTATCTAGTAAACTGCCGGCTATGTAGTGACTATAGTTAAAGTTGAATTTTTATAAGATAAACCGATCCCCAAACCCTTCTCTAGCCCTAACCGCTAACCTTTTGACAGTTTGGAAAGCTGGAAAAAAAAGTTTAAAACATTTTAAGAAAAAACAATGCTACAGTAAGTCAGACAAAACACATCCCGACCCCAACTGCATTTCACTTTCCGCACGCAGTGCATGCTTTTGCCGAATACGCCAACAGCAACCTCGGTAAAAGCTAATGCAAACAAAAGTTTTTATGTTTAACTATAGTCACTATACTGCCGGGCATATAAACCGTGACTGGCTGCCGTAGTCACTTTGTTTATATGCAGAATGGAACAAAAAGATATGGGGGTTTTATGTGCAGACAGAACTTCAGATTGGAAATTCTGCACAGGGGAATGCTTCCCCCATGCCAGATTGTAAAGCTCCGTACCGGCTAGCAAGTTTTCCTTGACAAGTTTACCTTCTCGTCTGTACGGTCAACAAGTTTTCCTTGACAAGTTTACCTTCTCGTGTGTATACGGTCAACAAGTTTTCCTTGACAAGTTTACCTTCTCATGTGTACGGTCAACAAGTTTTTCTTGACAAGTTTACCCTCTCGTGTGTATGGTAAACAAGTTTTCCTTGACAAAGTTTAACTTCTCATGTGTATACGGTCAACAAGTTTTTCTTGACAAGTTTACCTTCTCGTGTATATGGTCAACAAGTTTTCCTTGACAAGTTTACCTTCTTGTGTGTATACGGTCAACAAGTTTTCCTTGACAAGTTTACCTTCTCATGTGTACGGTCGACAAGTTTTTCTTGACAAGTTTACCTTCTCGATCGTGTGTACGGTCAACAAGTTTTCCTTGACAAGTTTACCTTCTCGTGTGTATGGTCAACAATTAAGTTTTCCTTGACAAGTTTATACCTTCTCATGTGTATGGCCAACAAGTTTTTCTTGACAAGTTTACCTTCTAATGTGTACGGTCAACAAGTTTTCCTTGACAAGTTTACCTTCTCGTGTGTATGGTCAACAAGTTTTCCTTGACAAGTTTACCTGCTCATGTGTATGGCCAACAAGTTTTTCTTGACAAGTTTACCTTCTCGTGTGTACGGTCAACAAGTTTTCCTTGACAAGTTTACCTTCTCATGTGTATGGTCAACAATTTTTCTTGACAAGTTTTCCCTTGGCACATTTTGTTCCTTGTGTGCACCCATTGAGCCGTAATGTGCCTCAGTGCGCTCTACTTATTTTTTTTACTTGTCTAACGCCAGACGATTTTACCCGTTGATGGGGAAACTCTGTGGCTTAATGGGTTAATTAACCAAAAAATCTGACAATGTCTCTAGTTAACCCAATGAGCAGCAGTGTACCCCAGTGCGGCCTACTTGTTTTTACTTGTCTAACGCCGGGCAATTTTCTCATCAATAGGGAAGCTTTGCAGCTTAATGGTTAAACATTTATTTCATGTCAAGAGGGCGTCTTTTGTTTGCCAAAACCATAGAGGTATTTCTTGTACACTTGTCAGGTTTTCCTTGGCGGCCGTATACACACAAACAAATTTTCCTTGTCCGAAAGCTGGCATGCTATAGCTTTGGAACAAGGCTCCTTGGCTAGGAAAAATTGTCAATTTTTTGACATACTCACGAGCAAATAACACTTGTCAAGGAAAATTTGTCAGGGAAAAATTGCCATCCTTATGAGACTTAAAATTTAATTTATTTTTGCGTTGGGAATTGGGCCTCGGTGGTGCAGTCGTCAGAGCAAGAGCCTTTCACCACTGAGTTTGTGGGTTCGATTCTTGCTATGGACTTAATACCGTATGTGAAAAGAGTCCGTCAATACTCTGCCGAAAGTCGTGGGTTTTCTCTGGGGGGGGGCTTTGGTTTCCTCTCACAGGGAAAGTTGACGGGGTGGCCGGGTTAGGATAAGCACAGTTAAGAAAGTAATATCACAATTGTTGTAAAGATAAAATAATCTAGGTTAAGTTTGTTATTAGGTAATTAAGCTTATAATTAAGCGTTTATTGATGTAAAGTGCATTTGATGCAAAGATCAAATCCAAAAGGAAAAATGCACTATAGTAAACGCAATCTTTTGTGCAAAACGGGCCCAGCAAAAATTCTTTGAAAAGCACCCTCTGTTAATTAGAGTTTTATAATATTAACATTCTCATGTAGGGTTCAGTTCTGTCAATCTTCTTCTGGGGTTATTCCTTCACTCAAGTTCTTGGTGGTTGGCTCAGCGACACATACAGCAGTCAAAGTGTTCTCGTATATTCATGTTTTGTCTGGATAATATTGACGTTTATTACCCCTATCGTTGTAAACCCAGAGTATGCCATCTTTATGTCGCCCACATCAGCTTTGCTTGTACTACGGTTTTTGTTTGGCGCCTTACAAGGTAAGCATATGTTTGTATTTATGTGCCAAGGGGGGATATAGAATGACAAATGGGATTTAATTACTCTGATATTTTGCTCTGTTTATAACCAGGCCATTGAGCATCGTTCAGCACTCTCCCATTGATTCACATTTGACAAGTAAAATTGTCTGGCATTAGACAGAGTAAAATAGTTGCACCTCCCCTGAATCAAAGATTAGATACTATAAAGATGTGCCACTCGACGTATTTCCCTATTATGTTTGCGTGTCCGTAATTTTCACTTACTGCCAAAATGGCGGCGAGACTGATGCCGTTGGATTTTACTATTTAGAGACTGATGGCGTTGAATTTGACACTTACTGGCAAAATGGCAGCTATAAAAAAATCTCGGACATAATTTTTGCAGAGTGGCACATCTTTACAGTATAGTATCTAATCTTTGCCTGAACAGTCATGCACCTCCCCTTGGGAAAGTTTCAATGATAGATCAGAGTGAAAATTTGACATTTGAATTTCTGTAAAATTGAAACAGTGATAGCCATTCATTTCTGTGTCAATTAGTACCCTTTTAATGCAATGTTTTGAAAGAAACTTTGCAGTAATTGTAATGAAAGGCAAAATGGGATGAGTTGTGTCAGTCATAATTCATTAATACACTACATGCATACAGTACGTCATGTTGACTTTGGCCCGTTCTAAGCCCTAACTTTCCATGGCTTTCCACCTCCCCTACTATTTCCACCAAAATCCGGCCTTGTCACATGGTACTGTACGTGGCTGAAAGCAAAGATTGGCATACCTACGGTACATCAGTATGCAAAATATTTACACTAGTAATCTACAGTACAGTAGTATTTTTATATTTCTTAGAGTCGTAGTGTTTTTTTTTTCTCCAGGTGTTTATTTTCCAGCCTGTTACAGTTTAATAGGAAAAAGAATTGCTCCAAAAGATAAGTCACTATGTACCAGTATTGTTGCATCTGGTATATCTGTTGGGTATGTTTTAAATGTTAATCACGTGTGTTCATTATCCAAATGTTAGCGCTTCATAATTACAGGACTTATTATTAGCATGACAAAATTACTGGATGCTGATTGGTTGAGAGGAGTACAATTATTTCATTAATTGTACTACAGTACAATTAATAATTTTCCCAGAACAAACAAAATTCATGGCGGAAAGGTATTTGAAACAAATGAAATTGCCCTAGAGCAACTTAAAGCAAAAGAACTAAATGAAAATACGAACAAAAGCACCAAATTTTGGTTGAAAGTCTGCCGGCAGAACCGGGCTTTGGCGTTCGAGGGAATAATATGATGTTGCTCGTCCAATTTTGGCAAAATTTCCAAACACCACTCGTACTATTATTCCCTATGATTCCCAATACTTACACAGGGGAAAATAAAGATTTACCATGTATACTATCAATGTAAAAACTGAACACTTACCATTATTGGTTATATTATATGATGTTTAATATTTACCATTATCGGCAATCACGACTTTTTTCCGATCAAATAAAAATTTGGCCAATCAGGAGCATATATTTATGTAAGACTAAGTTTCCTTGAAAACGATTTTAAATATGATAGTAATTAACTTTATTTCAAATTCAAGTTTAAGTCTACGACATTTTTGTATATATATATATATATATATATATATATATATATATATATATATATATATATATATATATATATATATATATATATATATATATATATATATATATATATATATAGCTTAACATTTTTTTAATCTTTTATTAAAGCATTTTTCAAGTTTTAATTATGGTTATTGCATTTTTTCACACAAAAGCATTAAGGAACACAGCATCATTATCAATTAAGAACTAAAAGTTATTACTTAATATTATTAATTTTACTAAAAAGAAAAAATCCTACTCAAAAAATCCTATCAAATTGAAATTATAACAAAAACGTTCGTCGTCAGCGGTCCGGATTGCAGACTGTTGAACAGACGACAGTATTTCATGCAAATCTGTTTTATAGTAAATTACTTTAGAGCGAGAATATTCTTGCGGCCTTTCCTGTCGTATGACTCGTATATCAACTAAACAAGAGTTTTCGCGTGTTTTGGCCTTAAAATATCTTTTACAGGGCCGTCTGACAAAATGTCCGGTGACGTTGAGTTTGGGTCGGACATATGTCCGATGACCTTCAGTTCCGTTTTGACTCGGAAATAAGTCTGAATGACACAAATGAATAAACGGTAAATGTTGTAAAAATATTAAATAGTTTGTTTCTTTCATACTTATTTCCAAGCCAAAATTAACTTGCTTGCCAGAACAGCAGTGTTAAAAAAGACTTCGACAACTTAAGCCCGTTTTCCACTTCACCATTTCGCTCGCCGCCCCGCGTTCGACTACGTTAAAACAACATTTCCAGTTCACCTTTTATACAATAGTACTCTGATTTTCCATTTAACATACAAGCCTCTAGTCCTGGGCTAGGGTACATTTTAATTTACGTCGGACAAAGCTACAGTTCGGTCGGACACCAATTCACTTGGGTCGGACAAACAATAAACCTCAGTTTCACTTTGGTCGGACAGAATGTCCGGTGGTTTCCTCTCTACGTCGGACAATTTCACGAATGGGTCGGACAATGTCCGTGACCGACCGATATTTTAAGGCCTGAATTTATGTTACTTTTATTTGTCTTTTACCGCGTACAAGTAACCATGTCTTTCAGACAATGGTCAAATCTATTTCTGCCGATCAAGATGAACGGCAACCTTGCTTCTTCGCCGATCAAAAACAATTTCCTGCCGATCATTGATCGTTGATCGGCCGTTATTTCGAGCCCTGTGCGCACAGGAAAAAATAAAGTAGCATTAATGGTAATTGTTATATAGCTAGTGTGAACACCAAACGTGATTGGCTGATTTGTAGTCACGTGGCTTTAGATAAATGCAATGTATCCCGCCCGGGCAATAAGTGAAAAATTGTTGCCCGCCCCGACCGGCTACCTACTGTACATAAATAAACAAAATGGCGGCACAAATTTATACTATTTAAACTACTGTTTTCGTGGCTTTGTGTTAAAATAAAGAATGTAAAAGAGAAGAAAAATACATAACAGGCAACAGGATATGCTGCTGAAACCATTTAAGTAGGGTTTTTAAATTTTAAACTCGTTTACGCTATAGAGTTTTTGTGATGAAATACAAATATTGTTCCCTCGAATCTCAATGTTTCCTTCGACTTCGTCTCGGAAAACATTGAGATTCTCGGGAAAACAAAACTAACTATTTCCCTCGGGTGCAGACATTAAGTGTATAATATTAAACATCATGTTTTTTTTTACCTATTTATCATATGTGGAATCTATGATAACCAATAACGTACGGTAAGAGTTCTAATCAGTTTTACATTCAAAAAACCATTAATGGACCATTCCCCAATTAACCAAGACTTTGAACTCAACAAGTCTGGTCGAAAATCTCAGCACAGCTTGAAAGAGCATCACAAAATTAGTAATATTCCAAAGTTTCGTTGCAAAATGTTGTAAAATGCAAATAATATAGCCTTGCGAAATTTTCAATTTTCAGTCATTTTAGATTACAAACGGGAAATGGTTACCACTTCTGTGCGTAATACAAAATGACTGAAAATTACAAACTTCGCAAGGCTATATTATCCCCATTTTACACCATTTTGCAACGAAACTTTGGAATATTACTAATTTTGTGATGCTCTTTCAAGCTGTGATGAAATTTTTGTTCAGGCTAGTTAAGATCAAAATTTTGGAAAAGTGGTAACCGTTTCCCGTTTGTAATCTAAAATGACTGAAAATTGCAAATTTCGCAAGGCTATATTATCCGCATTTTACAACATTTCGCAACGAAACTCTGGAATATTACTAATTTTGTGATGCTCTTTCATGCTATGATGGAATTTTGTCTAGACTTGTTGAGATCAAAATTTTGGTTAATTGGGGAATGGTCCATTGAAAGTTCAATTTTTTCCTTTGCTACTGCACACCAGAAGGGCTGTATTGACTGGAACCAGCTACTTTTATAACGGACGTTTTAATTTCATTATTTTTTCTTTAGTTCTGTATTATCTGGCATATTCGGTTCCCTAGTGATGTCGTATATAAATTGGCATATGGTATATTATATATTTGGAGGAGCTGGTTTCCTCTGGTTTCTATCGTTAAAATATTACGCATTACATAATGACATTCTTGAGTCTAAGGACAGCTCAAAACAAAAAGAAGAAAGGCTGCCTGTACCGTGGAGAACTATCTTCTCAAAGCCTGCTATATGGTAAGCTGCTTTGAATTTAGTAATTAATACAAGGCTTTAATGGAGGAAGCCTTGACGAAGCTAGCTGGATATAGCTCTATTGTTCTTCCTAGAGATCCTGTAAGGGTCATCTCTTATTGATCCAGTGTTACCACAGGAGGAAACCTAAACTAAACTAACTTTTAATTATTTATACTGGATATAGCTCTATCATTTATAGACTGTTCTCCCTAGAGATTCAGTAAGGATCATCCCTTATTGCATGATTCTGTGTTACCACAGGAGGAAACCTAAACTAAACTAACTTTATTTATACTGGATATAGCTCTATCAGTTCTAGACTGTTCTCCCTAGAGGTCCAGTTCATCTCTTATTGATCTGGTGTTACCACAGGAGGAAACCTAAACTAAACTGAGTTCATTTATACAGGATACTGTAGCTCTATCTGTTCTAGACTATTCTCCATATAGAGATCCAGTAATGATCTTCCCGTATTAATCCAGAGTTACCACAGGAGGAAACCTAAACTAAACTAACTTTATTTATACTTTATCTATCAGTTCTACTGTAAACTGTTCTTCCTAGAGGTCCAGTAAGGATTATCGATCTTATTGATCCAGTGTTACTACAGGAGGAAACGTAAACTAAACTTTATTTGTACTGGATAGCCCTAACCTTGGGTTTTTTATCATGATTAAATCCTTTCTCGTTCTTGCAATCGAACACTAGGGCTATTGTTGTAGCAGCATTCTGTCTGGGGACGTGTTTTGACATGCTGTTTGCGTGGATGCCGACATATTTTCACGATAATTATCCTGACAGTCAGGTAGTGTTTCAAAGTACAAGATTTATAAAATCGTTTTTTTGAATTTACAAATTGAAACAACAAAATATTGGATTACCGTAAGATTTCGTTGCATAATTGTTTTAAAAACTGGACTGCATGCAAGGAGGTGTTTATATGGAGGCAAGCCAGGTACCTGAGCTAGCTCGCTTTGCTGAGCTGATATCATCCCGTGTTTCCATGAGACTTTTGAGGCAGGCTAGCTCGCCAAAACAAACCATTGGTCTCACCTCTGCAAATAGTATAATATAGCAATATTTTCTCACGATCCTGAAATTCGCACTTTCACGGTTATAACCCACAGAATCGTTCACAGAGGCCTTTTAAGATCGAATTCTGTCGAAAAAATCTTATTTTGTACAACAATATATTGCCTTGAACAGAGCAGTAACACTCAGTCCGCTCATGCGAGCCAGCCAGGACATTGCATTTATATTGGATATTCCCAGTCCTGTCATCCGAGATCTCGGGTCAGTCGAGGCGGGATCTCGCTTAGGCGGGCCACAGGCCTCGAATTTGGGAAAAATAAAGGCAAGGCCAGTTTGACCTTGAATGTTAGTAAGTGTTTCAAAGCATCAAGGCCAGTATACAGGGCATCAAGGCCAGTTTGAAAATTTTATTCAGTTGCTATTTTGAAGTTTCAAATTTCGTTTGTTTCCATGAGACAAGAAAAATATACAGATTAATAATTAAAAATAAACAATTAAAAAAAAGGCCAAATGAAACTATTCATTTCATATTTACATGTTCGTAACTACCTATTAAACTATAACTAATAAGATTGTACAGTACATAAGTTGATTATTGCCAATTTTACAAATCATACACTTGGTATTCTAAAGCATAAGTACTGTACTCTGTGGTTGAGGGCAGGCCACTACTGGCCGTGGATTTCAGTATATTTCGAAGGCATAGCGGTCAACAAGCAGGGCATCGACGGCCAGTTGCCGCCATGGCCGCCGCTAAATTCGAGGCCTGGGGCCAGCTCGGTTCCCATACAAACATAAAATGAAATTTAGTAGGAAATGATAACAAAGATGGGATCTTGCCTAAACCGGGCCAGCTGGGGTACCTGGGCTGGCTTGCCCCATGTGAACAGTCCCGCATTCCAGGGCTCAAAATAACGGGAGATAGGTATCCGGTCAAAATGACCGGTCAACTTGATTTTAGCTCGGTCAAAATCTGTTTTTGACCGGTCATTGATACGTTTACATTAACAGTGAAACAAACTATTAGAAACTTGTTTTGATACATCATAGTTTCATGTTTTAATTCAAGACGTCGGCAGTCACATTGGAAGGCATGAAAATGTGGCCAGTCAAAATGACCGGTGAGGTAAAAAAGTGACCGGTCAAGAGGCATTTTGGTCCGGTCATTGTCCGTTGACCGGCCGTTATTTTGAGTCCCGCAGTCAGAAATAGCCATCTATTTTCAATAATTTGTCTATTTTAAAATCCATATACAGGGTGTTATATTTAATGTTGTTCCATGGTTGGGTCATCCTTTGATAGCTGTAATGTCTGGGCATTGCGCTGACCATATGATCAGAACAGGTTTATACATGCATTAATTATAGTTCAAAACATCTTTGATAAACTGAAACTTTTTAAAATTATCTCTTTTGTATTATCTGTGGAATCATCACGAATTAATATACTAAATCTGGGAATTTTGTTTAGGTTACACAAACACATTTGTTAGAAAATTATTTCAGGTAAGTACTCCCTGTTTCATGATTTTTACAAATATAGAGCGTTTGCACATGACGTCACAGCCGCCATGTTGGTGTTCCAATTCAAAAGAATTTTAAGTAGACTCTTTTGTCTGGAACACCAACGTGACCGCCATGGCTTTTTTCGAGGTGGTCCCTGGGGAATGAGTGCAAACGCTTTATACAGGGTGTACATGCATATAAAAATCAAGATTTTGGCCATCCCACTCGAGAGAACTACCTTACTTGTATTAAAATTCGCGTCGTACTCATTTTCGCCCAAATGTAATTTCGCGCACCTTGTCGAGACTTATTCGCGCAGCTTCAAATTCGCGCAGTAATTTTCCGTGTTCGTTCTTTTTGGTTTGTTTAATAGAACTATTAACAACTAACACATTTATAATGAGCATTTTTTATCAACAAACACTTCAATATTTGTCAAAATTTAATCGAAAAGCGATAATAGGTAGCCTGTAAAATGGCTTCAAAATTATGTTATGTAAGCAAAATTCATGATAACAATAAAGCGTGAGTTCAAAATACCAACAAGAACATTTTCCTAATACAATAACACAATGCAAGTAGTAATGCAAATCAGTTAATAAATCAACCGATTTGCATTACTAATAATCAGTGTCTCATATTACACCACAAAGCTTGTCGCGCGGATTATATTTCGCGCAGTACTAAAATTCGCGCACCCAGCGCTGCGCGAATTCTAGTACTGCGCGAATTTTAATACAAGTAAGGTATACAGTAAATCAAAGGGTTTTTATAGTTGGAAATTTCGAGTATAACGTTTATACAGTTTTAGACCAGGAGCAGTTGCGAAAAATGCAACTATAGACTTTCTGCATGGCAGTAATCGAACTTGCGTGTAGCGCGTTCGCTTGTGTCAGCCCCCAGGGGCGTTTGCTTGTATCAAACTGCAAGCTACAATTGGAAGTGTCGCAGATGTTTTGTCCATGATTGTCTGAAATGAGTCGAAATTATATCCGTATATATTTCGCTTTCTATATACATGTCTTTGCCAGTTATTTCGTTTATGATGCGCATTCCTTATGACCTACTTATGTTCATAATTACATTCATTTTTAATGCGCTATATCTTGGTTATTGAATTTGAAAGATACAGACAATCCTGGACAAAACCCAACACTCTATTAAAACAGTCCTTGGTGGCATTTTTTTACTATTAGACCGGAATCATTTACTCGTTTTCACCCCCCAAAACAATGCTGGACGTTTTCACCGTATTCTACGAATGCAATCAACACTGAATGGCGGGGGTAGGGGGGGGGGGGCGATAATCTTATGAAGTTTCGTCAAATAATTGGAAGTGTCACAGATGTTTTGTTCATGCAGGATTGTAGCTCTCAAATTCGTTTACCCCCAAAACATGCTTTATATAATGTTTAAGGTGACTCGATACAGTTTTCAAAAATTCAGGTGTTTAACAGTTTGACATGTTCAAACTACGCATTTTTAGGATTTATTCAAAAGATATTGGTGTTTTTTATATATTTTGATAACTCTACTTTCAAATTATATTAGTTTTAGTAACAGATAGCTCGTTGCTATGACGACATACGTGTACGAAATTCACTCCAAAATGGCCTATCGTTTCGTATAGTTGGAAAAAAAGCATGGTGACCCCCAATTTTTTTTCTTGCATTGTTTTACTTGGACGAAAAGCTAACAATTAGCAAAATATTAAAAAATTCTGTAATGCCATTTTTTTGGAAAATGCGAAAATGTCATATTCTTCGTTAAAATTTTTTTGGCATTACAGAATTTTTTTATTTTTTGTATAATGAAAGTTTTTAGCGGTGCAATACAGCATGCAAAATTTGAACATAGGTCACCAGGCAAAATAAAGAGATATAGCGCATTGTTTTTCTAAAATGGAAAATTCTAATGACGTCAGCAATCGACACAAAACGCTATACAACACGCGCAATGACGTGAGATGGCGCGAGCAACTGCTCACGTCAGGTCATTTTGGAAGTTCTTTCATTTTGTTAATCAGTTTCCACGACCTGCGCGTAAAAATGGTCGCCCAGTTTTGTTCGCGATTCTTGAGCAGGGTTTTTGTGATAACTATATCGAGCCACCTTAAGTTTGATTTTCTGAATTGTAATTTTAGTCGTTCGCTCTACTGGGACCAGCAATAGCTTTACTACTGATGAATTACCTAAAGACTTTTTGGAATGCGATATTTTTAATGACAGTAGCTGTGTCGTTCTGTGCATTCAATGCCAGTGGTGCGACGGTAAATGCACAAGAAGTCGCTCCAACTTACGTCGGCTTTGTATACGGTAAGTTTGGTCGCAGCAGTGAGCTCTCTCTCTCTCTCTATATATATATATATATCTGGAGTGAGAATTCGAGTCCAAAACGTGAAACCAAGGGCGCTTTCCATTAATACGGTCAGACCGGTCAGAACGGTCAAATTGTTGAATGAAACACAAAACGTTTGGGCTTTGGATCTATCTGACCTGAAAATTTAGATAAAATTAGAATGAGGTCCATTTTCGCTAGATATTTGAGAAACATCGACCAGATCTTTCCATTGATACAGAGACAAAAATTCGGGTCTGACCGGTCAGGCCATTAAATGGAAAGCGCCCCAAGATCGAGCTATTGGACGTCAGTTCCAATCCCTTTTCTATTGTTTTTGTCCGCGCGGTTAACACGAAACTTCGTATTTTCACCACATTTAAAGAATAACACTATGGTTCTATGAACTGATAACGTGTTTAGCGATACGGTCCGTTAGACAAAAAAAGCTGGAAGTAACTGGGAAAAACGGTTTTAAAATTGTTTATGACCATACTGGACGTCAATTTCCACTATTTTATGACTGAAGATCCGCTCCATATATTACTCAAACTTTGTTCCCCATGCACTTGAAATATTGTCTGGTTAATCCATATTTGTGTATTATTTTTTGGCAGGAGTTATGAATACTATGGGATCTGTACCAGGTATAGTAAAATTGTATTTATTGTATTCCCCAGTGTAACTTTACCTGTAGAATGGTATCGATGGGGAGGAGGACAACCGCACCCAATGCCAAAAGCAGGCCATACTTTAGAAATGACAGGGGGAAATGATTTTGAACTGTATCTTCGGGCGAAATTCTACGGTACATATTGCGTCACTTCATTTTCGTCAAATTTTCTTCAAAGCGTTGACACCAGAGTTAAATCCAAAAAGAACAGTTTGATAGGGCAAATACATAAATGAATGAACCGGATCACTTTGACAGTTAAAAAAAAACTGAAATTGCATGCAGGCCATAATTCAGTTGACTTGCTGGCAAAAAAAAAGTTTCTCAGGCCATATTTTTTTCACTATTTCGAGTCCTGGATATAAATCTGATCCTACGATACTGTTTTTTGTTAAAAGGTTTTATTGGTGTTTACATCACTGGATACATCCTAGAAACTAGAGGAGATTGGACACTAGTATTTCAAGTCACAGCATTGATCTCAATCATTGGCTGGGTCGTCTACATCTTATTTGGCTCATCCAAACGGCAAGTATAGAGGCATAAATACAGAGAGCCTAATGGTCAGCCATCGGAATTACTACAAGTAAGGTCACCATGAGGCTCTGTTTAGTAGATTCTTGCTAAACTATAAACATATTCGAGTTATGACGCAACGATATACGCAATAGGAAATCAGATATGGTGGACAGTCGACAAGAACATAGAAATATCGAGACCTATACAACTCCCTTATGACACTATGTATAGAATATGGTTATTCATTGGAATAAGCGCTAATAAGATAGAGCACAAGTCCTCAAGGTCTTGCAAATAGGTCCTATTTGGAATCAAGATAAACTATATGAACCCGATTAGATTTAGTCTAATGTCTTACGTCATGTGTCTTTTGTCGGAAAGAGGAAATGACGTCATAGTGCTACACCAACAATGCGTCGATCAAAATCTGTGGCCAAGGAATAGTTTCAAGATTTTCACTAGTATATTCTGTCGTGCGTACAACACGGCATGCATTGGGCACTTTATTTTGGCGAAGACTCGACGAATTTTAGCTCATTTAAATTTGAAAGAAATAAAATCTCTCAAATATTTCGAACAAACATTATTTAATCCACTATCCATGCATGAACATTATTCATTAAATATGTTCGAAGTGTCGTCCACGGTTAAATCAAATTTGCGACACTTACCGTATTGACACAGTGCATATATGAATTTTCTAAAATGTTTTGCAGAGTGTATAGGTAGGATAGGTATATAATACTGTTCCAATAGTAATAAAATAACTTTTAAATTCAGTTTTTGTTATTGCTTTTTTGTGCTGGTAATTAATTTCCGAGAATGTTTTGATTTTGCATTTCAAATCGAATTTGCACTGTTTTGAGACCATTATTATACCATATGGTCAGCCTAGTCCCAGGCTCTCTCTCTCTATTCGCTGCTTTGATATATTTAAATGAGTCTTAAAAGTTTTATGCCTGGGTGTGCTGTGCGGAACGCTTCAGTGAGAGAGCCTAGCAGATTTCGGTAAAATGGTAGCCCGCGTGCAGGCCCAAGGGAGCAGGCTCAAGGGAACTTGATAGTGGGCCTGCAAGCAAGGCCCGGTATTTTGTTTTTTTGCTGTTAGATTCTATAATTAGATAAGTGATTCATCACAAAGGCTCTCGATAAGCTTAAAATTCGAAAATTGATCACTTTTTTCGATTATAAATGTAACAAGAACAGACTGTTTATTGCTTACTTGAAGGAAGAGATGTTTTTGCCGTTATGCCAATGGGGATTGCTTGTCGTGAGGTGTTGGAATAGCACTCATTACGACTGGGGTAAACTATAGATTAGTAACCTTTACTTGAGTTTCATTAATTTCAAACAGACATGATACGTTATATGTTCCTCAAGAAAATTATCTTTTGGTTGATGTTGAGATGCAGTTGCATTTAAGCCTATTCGAAACACTTTGCGATTTACAAGGCTTCGCTGAGAGAGCGAAACAGAAGACGGTATTAAATTGCCGTTTGAAACGAAACGATCTGGACTCTGAACGCTCTCTTCTTTTGAGAGTTCTTTACCAAATGAAATAACTGAAATA